CTGTCCGTCTGTCCGTCCGTCTGTAAACTTTTCACATTTTTGACTTCTTCTCAAGAACCACTGGGCCAATTTCAACCAAACTTGCCACAAAGCATCCTTGGGTGAAGGGGGTTCAGGTTTGTTCAAATGAAGGGCCACGCCTGATTCCAAGGGGAGATAATTAAGAATTTATGAAAATTTGGTCTCATCTTTTAAAAATCTTCTTCTCAAGAACCATTGGGCCAAAAAAGTTGAAACTTATGTGAAACCTTCATTACATAGTGTAGATTCAAGTTTGTTCAAATCATGACCCCCGGGGGTAGGGTGGGGCCACAATGGGGTATCAAAGTTTTACATAGGAATATATAGGAAAATTCTTTAATAATCTTCTTCTCAAAAACAACAAAGCCAGAATTAGTCATATTGATATGGAATCATCCTCAGGTAGTGTAGATTCAAGTTTGTTCAAATAATGACCCCCGGGGGTAGGGTGGGGCCACAATGGGGTATCAAAGTTTTACATAGGAATATATAGGAAAATTCTTTGAAAATCTTCTTCTCAAAAACAACAAAGCCACAATAAGTCATATTGATATGGAATCATCGTCAGGTAGTGTAGATTTAAGTTTGTTCAAATCATGACCCCCGGGGGTAGGGCGGCGCCACAATGGGGAATCAAAGTTTTACATAGGAATATATAGAAAAAATTCTGAAAAATCTTCTTCTCAAGAACAACAAAGCCAGAATTAGTCATATTGATATGGAATCATCCTCAGGTAGTGTAGATTCAAGTTTGTTCAAATCATGACCCCCAGGGGTAGGGCGGGGCCACAATGGGGGGGATCAAATTTTTACATAGGAATATATAGGAAAATTCTTTAAAAATCTTCTCAAGAACAACAAAGCCAGAATTAGTCATATTGATATGGAATCATCCTCAGGTAGTGTAGATTCAAGTTTGTTCAAATAATGACCCCCGGGGTAGGGCAGGGCCACAATTGGGGATCAAAGTTTTACATAGGAATATATAGAAAAAATTCTAAAAAATCTTTTTCTCAAGAACAACAAAGCCAGAATTAGTCATATTGATATGGAATCATCCTCAGGTAGTGTAAATTCTAGTTTGTTCAAATCATGACCCCCGGGGGTAGGGTGGGGCTACAATGGGGGATCAAAGTTTAACATAGGAATATATAGTAAAAATTTTTAAAGATCTTTTCAAGAACAGGAAAGCCATGATTAGTCATATTGATATGGAAGCATCCCCAGGTATTGTAGATTCAAGTTTGTTCATTGCATCCTCCAGTAGAAGGGTGGGGCCATAATGGGGAGTCAAAAATATATAGGAAATATCTTTAAAAATCTTCTTCTCAAGAACAACAAAGTCATGATTAGTCATATTGATATGGAAGCATCCCCAGGTATTGTAGATTCAAGTTTGTTCATTGCATCCTCCAGTAGAAGGGTGGGGCCATAATGGGGAGTCAAAAATACATAGGAAATATCTTTAAAAATCTTCTTCTCAAGAACAACAAAGTCATGATTAGTCATATTGATATGGAAGCATCCTCAGGTAGTGTACATTCAAGTTTGTTCAAATCATGCCCCCACCCCACCCCCAACCCCCAGGGTAGGGTGTCAGACATCTTTAAAATTTCTTTTTAAAGAACAGCAAAACCATGATTAGTTATATGAAGATAGAAGCATCCTCAGAAAGTTTATATTCAATTTCATTCATAACATGGCACCTGGAGGTAGGGTATGCCTAGAACAGGCGATCAAAGCTTCACATATGAATATATAAGAGAAGAAATCTGCTGACGAAGAACAGCAGGGCCATATTGACTCAGGTGAGCGTTGTGTCCCATGGGCCTCTTGTTGTATGAATCTGATTTCAACTTCCTGTTTATCCGTGCGTCTGTCTGTACCATACATAACAAATTTTGGTTGCAGTTTTCTCAGCAACTACTGATTGCAGATGCTTGAAATTTTAGCACACTCTTTGTTTAGGCATGTCATATGTTGGGATACATTTTTGTACGAATCCGATGTCAACTTCCTGTTTATCCGTGTGTCTCTCCGTACCATACATAACAAATTTTGGTCCCAATTTTCTCAGCAACTACTGATTGCAGATGCTTGAAATTTTAGCACATTCTTTGTTTAGGCATGTCATATGGTGGGATTCATTTTTGTACGAATCCGATGTCAACTTCTTGTTCACCCTTGTGTCTGTCCATAACTGAACTTGTGTATATTCACATCAGAATGTATATTCACATCAAAGCGGGGGTAATTACTAGTGAACATTGGCTCACAGACTTCTTGTTAATTTCAATTTTATAATTCACTTTAGCTTTGAAGGGTGGGGAATCATATATCTATTGTCAGATTTTATATGATAAATGCTATTCTGTATTGGTCTTACTATTTGTGGATTTTTTTTTCTTTGCTATATAAGGGCTATTTTGAAATTAATGAGACATTTACTTTTACTCCATAAAAGAAAGACATAAATTCATCAAAATTTGTCAACATTTTAACAAGAACAAATAAAACAGCTATGCAAATTTTCTAATTGATAGGATAATTAGACATGTCCCATTGGAATTATAAACTTGCATATGTCTATTGACCTAAAGCAGCATTGCTTCTTCATTTTCATCTCATGCCAGCCATAGATCTTTACCATGTTGAGACAGTCTGGAAGCTTTAATGCTTCTTTCTCTGTCATCACAGAAACTAATCAACTGATTGAGATGAAACCTTTTTAGGGTTAACAGGCATGTTGTGTAGATGTGCAGAAGGAAGGTCATTTTACCCACACTTACATGCACATGCGTGCGCGTGCAAGGATTGAAATGACTGAAGCAATTGAAACACCATTAACCTTCCTGTTTTTTTATGATATGCTTTGAACTTCATTGTATAGACTTATATTAGTAGTGTAGACAAGAAGAGGTGGTTGAATTAGCAAGAAAGCATGTGCATGCATGTGTGCTTTGCTCTGTTTGACTGACACAAAAAATCTCAATAACCTTTGTGTTTTTTGATGAAATGCTTTGAAATTTAAAACATAGTCATACACAACAAGGCTCTACATTTTGATATAATATATGAGATATTGTGAAAACAAGCTCATGCAAGTGTGCTGCAATTTGATTGGCTTAAACTTTAAATGGCTGTTACAGTAGTAACTTTCTTAGTTTTTAACAAAACTGGATGGAATTAAGAATATAGATAGGTGTAATGGGTTCCTACATTGTGCTACTATGAAAATTGAATGCAAGAACGTGGATTCTGATTTGCTAATACTTATATGGCTGTATCTCTCATAGTTTTCAATGAAAATCTTTAGATTTCTTACATAGCTATTTATTGTGAGTCTCTTCACGAGGAAGGAATATGAAATATTTAGAAAATATGGGCATGTGCATGCGCTAGAGGTGTAACGATACAACAATACATCGATCGTATTGATCGCAAGGGCTGACGATACGTGTATTGCCATGTATGTATTGTGATACAGTAGAAGATAATTTTCATTGTTTTGTTTGTAACTTCTACATTCAACCTAACAAATGTTAATGTTTTAAAATGGCTAAAAAAAGGTAGCAAAGAAAAAATACAATATCAAGACTATAAATCCACTTTTTATTAACTTTGATAAGGGTTATCAAGATATTCTTTGTATATTTTCTATAACTGTGGAGTTAGCAAAGAATTATATGTTTAGATAAAGCTTAATTCAATTGGTGACAGCTGTACCATGGTACATGTTGTATATCAAATGACCGTATCATGATATGTATCATATCGTTAGGTAGTTTGCGATACTCAGGCCTAGCATGCGCTGAAATCCAGTTGGTTAATACTCGAAGAACTATACCAGTGTTGTTTTTCGAATAAATACTACTGAAAATAAAGTATAGATTTATTAAACAAAAGAATTGCATAATGAAATGAAGCCTGTAATGAATGGGGCCCATAAGAGAATGGGGAAGTGTTTGGGGAACATCTGAAACAGTTCCCGTTACAGTTAGCACTAGTTGTTATTGTTTTAGAAGATCTTTTAGTCTGGAAAAGAGTTCTCCACAGAGCTATGTAAAATTCTAGGTATGCTTGCTGTGTCGTGTTGACATCAAAATCTATTTTATTGATGTAATCAGATATCTATATCAAGCTTAGATTTTTTTATGATCTCCGTATTTCTGATTGAAATTCTAAGAAGTTTGCACAAAATGAATTGAAATGAAATTGAAAAAATAAATACCGATATATAATTTGAATTATTTTCGCTCTTGCTGTATATGGGTCCACTGGGAGTTGGAACATAGGTATAACATATTTCAATATATGATTTCGTGACGGCACCGGGTACCCCTTCTATTTACCCATTTATATACCATTGAAAAGAAGAAATAAAATATTTGTAAAATATTTGTTGCTTTTATTAATTCTTAGTGTTTGTCAAACGTATATGCAATTTTTCACCAAAAGGCATTACTTGGAAAGAAAAATAAACACTATGTACTAATAATCTCTTAACAACCCTCATAATGCTTGTATCAAATAATATTTGACCACCCTTAGATTTTCTTTTAATCTTAAATAATGATGCTGTTCATCAGGTGTCACATGTGTTCCTTGGAACAGTCTTTTAATTTTAGCTAGCAAGATTATTTGGACTTAAAAGTCAAGTCAATAATCTTCTAACAAACATTTTCTTCTGTCATGTTTAATTCATAGTCACTAGGCAACACTGAAATTTCCACTCATTGCTTTTCAGTCATCGACAGGAAAAGGAATTACCGGTAAGTTGACAGGACTTTCCACACTGTTTCTGGTAGCAGCGTATGATTGAATTGATGGTAGAAGACATGGCCCACTTAATCAAAGGTAAATCTCATGGAATAGTGCTAATAGTACTGATATTTCTTTTACTCTGTTTTGCATTGAAGCTTTAGGTCAAAGGCAAATTTTCTTTGTGTGGATTCTTTTATTCTTCTCAGAAATGTGTGGCTGCTAATTAAGCCATAGCTGTCTGTTTTCTTTGAGAATCAAAGAATTGCAGCAAGTCTTTTAGGTTTTCAATGAAATTTCCTTGTTTTTCAGATAATCCGTATAGAGTGGCACCTTAACCACCACTGGTGAAATAGAAGATGACTAGTGGATGGTCATCACTTTGCAGCTCACTTTCACTTTCTGCAGCCCATCTCTTCTCATCCACAATCATTGTCTTTGGAGGAATGGTGACAGTGCAGTCCTCATGGCTGGGCAGGTAACTTCCTTTCCTTTATTTCACCTTTCTTACAAAATTTATTTCCATAGAACACTGCTACAATATTCTTCCTCCAAGAACACAGTATATGTCACTTGGGTAGCACCTTAGAATTGGGTTTTCCCAGTGGCACTGAAGGTGGCATTTTTGTATTGAGCATCTCCTTCCACTCTGATACGTGTATCAGGAGTCCCCATTTTTCATTTAGATCCTGAATGTTCTGTCTTATATTCATCATGCTGGTCTTCTACCCCCACAATAAAGGTTGGGGGAATATATAAGAATCACCTTGTCAGTCTATCGGTGCCAACTTGTTGGTCATTGGAAGCTCAAACTTGGTACAAAGAATGTTTATGACCTGTTGGTGTGTCAATATCTTGACCCAAGGTCATTCCGGCTAGTTCAACAGGGTTTGACACTAAGGAATGTTTGACCCAGTCTAGTAAATGAGTGGTCCAGTCGTGTAAAAGACCAATTGGTATTGATAAAATAACTGTTGAACCCCCATTTCAGTCCTTCAAATAAATAATCTAAAAACTTTCAAAGAAAGGACAAGGTATGGTAACGGCCGAATCTGGCCCCTTATTTGATGTAAAAATCAGAACACAGTTAAAATTGTGATAGTTTGTAGGTAAGAATTAAAAATAATGCTTGTTTTAAAACCAGCACTAATTTTGATTCAAAGCTTACACGGAGGCCACAAGAGGGTGTAGAAGTAGGTTATTTTCCAGAATTTCCTCAATTCTGGTCGTATTTCGTCAAATTTGAGATACTTTTCACTTTAGGAAATATGGAGCACAAGGCTGCCTATCTGAGATTTTTATACATAAGATGCATCTGATACTAGTGTATGAAATATATAAATTTGGTAGATAGGCAAGCTTGTGCTCTATGTTTTCTGAACCAAAATGTGCTGTAAAATCAATGAAAATTTGCATAAAATGAGAAAATTCGGAAACTGACATATTTCCTAACCTTTCTGGGGCCTCTGTGTATCCCATAACTTAGAAACAGTACTCAATTTATGGCAGGGGTGACATCAGGTTTTTAACTGAAAAACTGTTGCAACATTCTAAAAGACACCCCAAACCAGGGGCCAAAAAGGGATCTTAGCCTATCTTATCCTTTCTTATATGTTAGATTGTAAACAGTCATTGCTGTGTAAAGAAAAAATCCCCACATGACCCAATCACTATTTTTAGCCACAGCTGTTATTAACAAGTCGAGGTCAAAACTACTTTTGTTCAGTACAATGTTTCAATATGATGTAAATAGTTATGTTTAGTATAGTTTTAAACTAATTTATTAATATTAACGATAATTATTTTATGAAAGTTTGTTGAATCTTTAGGGCTTATATTGCTCAAATGTCCTGATGAACCCGATTTGATTGGCAGGATCCCATCAAACAGTCTGTCAAAATTCAAGGTCACTGACAGAAAAGATATAAACTTCTTGTCCAGGATATCAATTTGCAATGGAGAATCATTGAGGCTCATTCTTGGTACAAAGATTATTGAAGAACTGAGAGTGTGTCATGACCTTGGCCCATGGCAATTCTGGCAAGTTCAAGGTCACTGGCTTAAAAAAGGTATTAAACACTTGTGTAGGCTGTAACTTTGTAATGGAGAATCATTGGAAGCTCTTACTTGCTACAAAGATTGTTTATGACCTGGAAGTTTGTCTTGACTTTGACCAAGGTCATTCTGGCAAGTTCAAAGTCACTGGCAGATAAGAGATAACATTCTTGTCCAGTCAATAACTTTGTTACTGAGCTTTAATTTGCTACAAAAATTTTTTTTGACCTGATGGTCATTGTGACAAGTTCAAGGTCTCTGGCAGAAAAAAAATGCAAGTCTATTATTTTGTATTAATGGAGAAAAATTGTATGTCCATATTTCACTCTTAGATTACTCATGTCCAGAGATCTGTCATTTTTTAACCAAAGTCATTTTGGTAAGTTCAAGGTCACATTTACACATTCTAAATAAAAGAATTGCAGCAGGGTTATAACCTTATTATTTTGTGAGATCGCTCACAGCACCTTTAGCTGACACAAGTGATGTAATAATTTTTCTCACTTTGTTTCAGGTCTACTGCATGTTGACAGCTGATACTTGTTCTCTATTTGCTCCGAGAGGCCTACTACACATTACCTCAGTTATGATTGTACTCGTGCTGGCTTCTATGATGTTAATTTCCTTTACCTGCACTGCGTTAAACTTGGTCAATTCTGTTACTGTCGCTCACCAACAGATGAAAATAAGATTTAGCTGATCCTGCCAACATTGTGACATAAGCGGTCCAATGTCCAATATCTCACTCTGCAGTCAAACATCATTTTTTTTATGAACGCTCAGTAAAACATTGGAAATGTTAGACTTTTTTAGTATTGATTTATATAGTTATATTTTTTTAAAGTAATAACAATTCTTTTTATTGATGTATGTTTAAGTATGCAAAAATGAACATTGATGATATTTATCTTCTGAATAAAATTTTATATCGATAATTTATGCACTTGTTTATACAAACCGCAAATGAGGCTTTCTATTCATTAGGAACTGGACCCACAATTACTTTCTTAAGGAGGAATGCCACACCAAAATTTTATTCCGTTGGTCTTAAGACATCCATGTTAAGGAAGCTCTAAACACTAATGAAAAATGCTTTTTGGGCTTTGAGAAAAATATATCATATAAAGGTGCACATATTCAGTGTATCAAGTTCATTTTCAACATAGGGTACCTGCCTTATTTCTGCAGAAAAAAATGTTCAAAGACAATGAACTATTTGTGAACAGAAATCACTGTTGTTTACTAGCATCAGGAAAATTAATGAAAATAATGTATTCAATTACTTAATCTTGGTCTAACATAACATTAAGAATACTTTAATTCATAAGAAATTGTGTCATTAACTGTAGATTCCCATTTATACTATTTTTCTTCTAAGGGCAAATCACTCAATAAAAATACCCTACGAATAGAACTCTTTAGTGTGCAGTGTTTAGAGCTTCCTTAAGTCATGGTTTCAGCATTGAAAGGCCTAGCTCTTAATTATTTTATAAGAATTTTCTCCAATTTTTCATAGAAAATGAAAAAAAAAAATGTTTTATTTGCAAATAAGATGCTTTATAGTTAAAAATTTGATGTTAATGAATGCATTATGTAAATATCTCAAAATATGTGAAGAAAAGCCAGATAGACATTTTAATTTTTTTACTAATTTTTTTTTTTCGAAAAAGTACATTATTTGTGAATATCTTCAAAACATATGGATAATATATTCAAAAAACAAGTCACAGCTACAAAGGATTTGTTAGACAATCATATTTGAAAAAGAAATTGAATGAAATTGCGAAATTTTAGAGAAATTATTTTTTACAAATTTTAGCCGATCCCGATCGAAATTAAACTGATCCCAACCAGAATTTTATAATAATTGATAATAGATAATATTTTCACGAGGAATACAAGTTTGTTTAGGTGTAATACGCGTTAAAAAGTAATTGAACTTGATAAATAAATAAATTTCTTAGTGGTAAATACTTAAAGAAGGCAATAATTTCATCTTATTTATTTTGTGTTAATTTTGATCGGGATTGGTCTAAATATTGAAAAAAAATAGTTTCCCTAAAATTTTGCAATTTCAATTTCTTTTTAAAATATGTTTGACTAACATGTTCTCCATAGTTCTGACTAGTTTTATGAAGATTTTATCCATAAGCTTAAAAAAATGTTCACAAATAATGTGTTTTATTTTCATAAATAAATTTTTTACTTAAAATATTCAAATGTCTATCCAGGTTTTCTTTAGATATTTTATTACACATTCATATTATATATACATTAACTATAAATGCTTAAATTTGTTGTTTATATCAAAAATATTTAAAAAAAAAAAAAAAAAAAAAAAAAAAAAAAAAAAAAAAAAAGCTTTCCAAGAACTACATGTGTAAAAGTTTTTGGTCAGCAATGATGCATTTCATGCGAGAGGCGCACCAGTCATTGTCGGATTATTTTTTTTTAATATTCACTGATATTAAGCCGATATCTGTACCAGTAGGTACGCATATCCCAAGATGACGTCGAGCTTGACAGGTTCATGAGTTTACACCGCTTGATTTTGTTATTTTTGTCATATTTCATTAAATGAATCAAAGTGAATTGTAGATTTATTGAGTCTTAATTAGCTAGCGACAAGCAGATTTGAATAAAACCTACAAATAAATCATATATCTCGTATGAAGGTGATAAGCGTACCTTGATGTTTTGGACATAAAAACCATGTGTAAATGATATCGGTACCTGCTAGTTTTATTTTTTCTAATTCTTTGCATTTTAACAATTTGCGCATAAATGTATCTGTCAAATATTTCACAGGAACGTAGCATCGTTTTTGAAAAAAAAGGGGGGCAGCAAGAGAAAAAAAATTCAACATACTCGAAAATCCTATTTCGTGGGAGGTGTAAGTGGGGGAGGGTAGGTGTTCCATCTTTCAGTACCAAATTTTATTAATACATTACCCTGAATTGACTATACTGCAACAAAAAAGGAGGAGCTGCCCTTTCAATGAATGAAATATATATAGATAACGAACGGTATTCAAGCTCAAATGTCCATTAAACAATACAAATCGGGAGCAGAGCAAACACGGACCTCTAAAATGTCAGAGGTGGGATCAGATGCCATGGTCGAGCAAGCATCCCCTGCCGACAGGTCATACCCGCCGTGTGCTCCTTGTCATGATCGTGAAATACGGAAAAATCCGTCGACAATGAACCTTTTCAATCATGAAAAGTAAAGTTTGTAGTTTCAAGTCTGTAACAATGTTTTTTAAGGTGGAGAGGGGTTGAGCCACAGGAAAACGTTCAGGATTTTTTTTAAATGTTAAAAAAGCAAAATGTTTACAAGCAATAAAGGGAAATAGGCTGTTGACTATTTTACAAAACTAAAATTCTTAAAACTGAGAAAGGAGGGGGAGGGGGTGTTGTAATACTCTCATTTTCTTTTCTGCACGAAATATATTCTGTACAATACGGTGCAAGCGGTTCAACGCTACCACAGAAAAGTGTGGAAAGTGTGTGTTGGGGGGGGGGGGGGGTCTCAGTTTAAATAATACCATGCATACAGAGGTGTATCTGCAAAAGACGGATGGGTCCAAATCCAAATCTTATGTAGAGAAAGAATACATATACTTTTACATGTACCGGTAAATACAATGTATAAAAATATTTGTTTGTTTGTTTGCTTAGTTGTTTAACGTCCCTTTGAGAATGTTTCAATCATATTGAGACGCCAACACTTGCTGGTGGGGGGCTGCAAATTTAGACCTGTACTCGACACTTGCGGCTTTTGAGCAGAGAGAGATCTTTTTCGTGCCAGCATCTACTGCGACAGGGGACTTCGGTTTATACGGTCTTATCCTAAGGACCGGTCTCCACCTTATACAGTACGGAAATAATCCATACATTGTAAAAACAGTTTAGAAATGAGGCAAAAATAAAAATTATATACATTTTTGTATGCTACGAAGAGATGCAAAAACAGATATATTCGAAGAGCCGTAACATATTTGGAGATTCGACCGAACATTATTTCGCCTACCACAATATCGAAGTGTATGCTTAAATCTTTGATAAAGTCCCAATATTTAATTACATTGTGACCCATATTCTTTTTCTTGAAATTTTGGGTTTTCTTTGGTGATTATTCAGATTTTCAGCGCTATAATCATTTCCTTTGATTTAATGTATCGTATAAAGGTATATGTTGCAAATTTCTCTCTGCTTTATAGAAAAAAAATTGTTTCCTCATCAAATCGAATAACAATTATTTCTATTTTCTGGAGAAAGAGAGAGAAAGATTATATTTCATGTAACGCATATCCAGTAACTCGATCACAAAATGACATGGTACATGTATATCTTTTTTTTTTTTTCATCAGGGTTTCCATTTACGCGTTAAATATCTATTCTGCATTTCTGGATTAATCTGCATAAAGCTATGTTTAAAGACTATATGTATATATATTCAAATCATTTTAATTCACCAACAGATTGAAGGGATATATAAGTATATCTATAGATCTAAACTCTCGAAGCTGTGGAGCTTTTCGATATCTGAGGATACATGTATGCGTACCTACTGGTACGGATATCGGCTTAATACCACTGATTTTTAGAGTTGTTGAAATGATATTAATATATAGTAAACCCAATCCCTCTAGAAAACACGGACCCCTGTTACAATGGCATAGAAAGTCACATACATTTATACATCGTCTGTATATCTATAAAGGCAAGGCGATTTAACACCCCCTCCCCCTCCAAAACGAAATAGCTATATAAGGTATGGATAAGTTTATGGTTTTTTATCCTTGCTTGACAATAATGTCTGAGTCCTCTTTTTTTGAGTGCGCGGCTGTGTACCCTCCTTCCCCCTCCGGAAAATGCCTGTATCCGCGCTTGATATGTATTGGTAATAATAAAATGTTTCAGAAATTTTATAAATAATCGCTATTCCTCGATTTTTTTTTTTTCAAATTTTTTATCAGGTTTGTCCATTCTTATCCCGTTTTCATGTATTGAGCTGTAACAGATATAATAGAGAAATAAAATTAAAAAACAGAAAAGAAAATCTATATGCATTTTTTAAAAAAATATTTATATTAATGGATAAGACAATTTGAAAAAAAAATGAAGCATTCCCTTTTTGATAAACAATAAAAATTAACATTATGATATATTTATAATTCACATATAAAGAACAATTGAGATTAGTAATAAGATTTATTTTCAAAATATCACTTCTTGTGGTTGTTCGTCCCCAGATGTAACAGCCCCCCCCCCCTCTCTCTCTCTGTAGAAAGGTTGGAGGTTGTGCCCGTCTGCATCCGCGCCGTAGTCACGCTTATGAACGTTTTAACCTGCTACATGTTTCATTCATCAATTAATAAATGTATTTTCATTTATCACTTTCTCTTTTTCTATTTGTACGGTTAAATGCATACATATACAGTGACACGGCATAGTGTCTACTTAATTGATTTAATTCATAAAAGAAATTAATATTTTTACAAAAACTATTGGATTAAATTATATAAGCTCTGTAAATTCAAAATATTCTAGTTGTTTTCCTGACAACAGCGCTTCTGATATCATTTAGATATGTCCTAGGATAAGCACATCGTCGTCTTGAAGTTAGGGCAAAGATAAGCAAATCTCCTAAGATAGGATAGCTTCGTTGCCCCCCCCCCCCCATCATATAGAGTCAAATAACCTTCCCCCCAACCCCATAAGGAGAGGAAACGCAGAGCTTTCGGAATTCATAAAATGTACATGCATTTACAAGAAGGAAAGGGGTCTGTCAGTGTAACCCTTTTCTAGTTAATTTTGTATCATTCATTTGATTTATGCCCAATTCTTTTTAGATGCATGTATAATATTCCTCTAGTCCCTTACAAAATCTTGTGTGATGTTTCCTTTTTTATTACATGTGCACTGCATGC